CGCGAGGCGGCCGAGCCAACGGCGCCAGCGGTCGAGCGGTCGAATCCCAGTTCCGCTGATTGGCTCGGTCGCCTCGCGCCAGCTGAGCTCGTTTCACGTTGGTCACAGTTTTTCGTTAATAACTCGTTAACGGTTCCTCGAAAAAAAATTTTGTAAAGGAAAAAGTTGCTTCAAATGGCCTGAGGAACCCGCCACTTTCGGATTGCGAGACATTTTTGGGACACCCTGTATATACAGTTCACAGACTCTGTACAGTACACATCAGACTCTGCCGTCCAGAGAAATAGCCTCGCGCAGAATTCAGCCGTACCTAAAAGGTTAACAATCTGAACAAGTTAAGAATAATCGATGTTTCTAAATTACTCAAATCTAGCTACAGTTCTATATTTCTTTTACTCATTTTTCCGATAAATGCATAATATCCTGAAATTACTAATGAATTACATGAAATAATGAAACGGTGCGGAAGTCTACTGAAGTCGCAGTTGCAAAAGTATACCACAGAAGACACGTTCCCGTCGTAACGTCGGACGAAACTTGGAAACTGAATGCGCGGTAAAGCTAGGAGAAAGTGGTCAAGCAATAAAAGGAGAAAGTACAAGGGTTCGTGCAGGATTCTGGTCACTTATTCTAGACCAATGGTAGTAAAACCTACAAGAAATTCTAAAAAATCTCGTTAAATATAGGAAGTATTATGACGGAAGTTACGGGAAGTAATGGACAAGGAAAAATTCGATGGCAAGGAGAATGTACGAGGATGTAACTGACCGAGAGTCTCGGGGGTCTGTTCGTCAAGCTTGTGTAACAAAAGTTCACCATGCTGGGAAACCAAAGAAAGAAAGAGCAGTATCAAGAAAACAAACAATGTAGAAAGCAGATGTTGTAGCTCTCGTACCAGATTTTCCACGATACACCTACTATGATCAAAATTACCGGTTTCTTATTTCATGGGAAATGCTTCAATAAATTACATTATTGAAGCGAGTTTCATCATAGAAGTTTCACGAAATCTAAATGAATTCGATCTTTTCATTTTTATCACGCAATGCGCATAAGTCACTATTACTATCGGTAGGTTTCCTGTTAATTATCTGTATTAAAAATTGTTATTTCTCGTGCTAAAATAATTTTTACATTGTCAGATTTGTTTATTTTCAAAAAACTATTGAAAGTGTGACTGTTGGATGAATAGCAAGACTCAATTTCATATATATAATATACTATATGACACTGCAAATTTTTATGCAAAATAAAAATTGTCTGCATCAATTGCATGAAATAGAAATTAAATAACAAGTTCGTTCTTTCATTAATCGTTTTAATAGACGCAAAATAATACATTGACATTTTAACAGTTTTCAAATCTTTTTTCTATTTTTCTACTCAGTTTCTCTTTAAATGCGTATGATCACATATATATTTATATATATTAGAGACAGTGAGAGATTTAAGAATCATTTGTTTTAGGGATGAAATTAAGAATAGTTAACAAGAAGTACTACAATATAGAAGCTAAAAGCGTACATTAACACATTAGTGAAGGCAAACTCGTTTTTATTCTGGTTATGCTAGATAGGCAGGACAAGCGAGCACGAGAGGATTCCTTATGCAAAAACGGAATGAAATGTAAAACGTAGAAACGGGTTTTCAGTAGCTGCATTTTTGAGAAAATTAAGTTTGACCATCTTTAACGGCTGCGTGTATTACACAATAGTACTTACGAGAAGTAGAAACGGTAAATCATAGACGTTTTAGCCAACATACTTTCAAATTCAATTAACTCGTAAATGGATCTCTATAATTGGGATACCATTGTTCTGTATTTTCCTTTTTATTTGAAGAATGTTCTTGTTTGCACCATCCGCTTTTTCCGCATTGTATACACTTGAGTTACCAATGACGAAAAAATGATGTTACCAATGATGAAAAGTTTTCATTTTTCCATATGGGTAACGGCTACTGCTGTAACAGTAGAATACAAAGTGCTTTATTGAAGAGTGCATGTTATCGAATTTTCGAAAGAAGTAGCTTCTTTAGTATCACAACTTTATCGTAGATAAGAAAAGAAGTTCACGAATATATCGTATTTCAATTTGTCATTTGGTAATAACATCTTTAGTAGAGGAATATTTATTTCGTGCGATAGTGAGTTAATGCATTTTCTGACTTCCCCCTTTAAACGTATCTTGAACTTCTCCATTTCGTTTATAGTGTCAAATATAAAATACGAATACCACAGACATGTTTTTATACCGTTCTTACACATTTCTCAAACTGTTATTGTTTAACGCATATTTACATTTTAGTAATAATTTTTATGTAAACTTACGGAACAAATTAAATTCGTGTGTATTTAAGATATACTTTGAATAATATCCTCTGTGCTCCTCGAAAATTAAACCTACGACACGGCATTGCGTAATTTATAAAATAATTAAAGTAGAACAAACTTATGTCTACGCACTTACCCTACTTAATCATTCTCTGTTTTTTTTTCTAACCTACAACAAAGGGAACTTTTAACCAAATTAAGAGTTTCAAAACTGATTTGAACACACACACAAGTAAATGTACAACTCTAAAATTATACAATATCTATAAATACGTGTCGTCAGTTCAACTATCTCGATTTTGCGGTATCTTTCATAGTTGATATTCCTGTAGTCAATGTATTGACTGATAATCTATCTCACAGTCTCCACTCAATGGATGGCCGTAAAAATGTTCCCTAGAGGGTCTCAAGGGGTATTTGCGGAGCGCATTTCCGCAGTGTGGTTAGCATTTGAGCGTGCGACCTCAGAGACCCAAACAGTTCTGATGAGGTTGCAGAATCAGTGAGCCACGATCGTTGAGAACGGTTCCGACCAACCTGTTGTGCCGCTGAGTCACGCATCGCGAAATCGCAACCCAATTAAATTGGCTCGTTGACAGTCCGTAGTTCCGCAGAATCTGTCAAGAACTTGGTCAGTCTATAATAACAATCATTTACTCGACGTCTCTCTTCGTTATCATCCGCCGTTATATCCCGCACAGTTTTCTCGAATCCACCAAGCGGAAAAGTTTAGTTTGCCGTGGCTCGTTACTCGGCATTAACCGTTACCGAAATTGGGAAAGTCCTGGAAGAAAGGGAGAATCAGAAGGCTGCTCTCTTCTGTGGAAAACAGCTCTTGTTAAGTCGAAAACATTTTCTCGTTGCAACCGGACAGTTTTCACTCTCTCTTCATTTCAACATGATCCCCATTCCAGCCGAAATCACAGGGAATGCTCTCGTTACTTTGGGTATCTAAAGTTTCATTGTTATCAGTGCAACTCGCGCAGCTACCAATTCGAATTACCATTATATGTATACCTTCGCGGTTGCATTGAGGACTCTTTCTTGTTTTCGCAGGATCCTGGAATCCAGCATGAGGTGCATTCAGAGGTACACGTTCGATTGCCTGGACGAAGACCAAAGGGAGCAGTTCAATAATCTCTACGCGGGAACCAACAAAGTGGTCATGGAAGTTTGTCAGGATGGCCCTTACCAGGACGGTAAGTTCAACATCAACTTCCGTGGGATACAAGATTTGCTGTGTACACGATGCCAAAAATATAGCAATCATTAAGAGCTGAGAAACATTCTTCACACGATATCGAAGAGATGTTCGCAACTTGTACAAAACTGTTGTGCAAAGTAATGGTAAACTTTGTTGTACATTGACGCGTCCTATTCGTGACAATGGTGGAAAGCTTTACCATTATTTTCTTGATGATATTGTGTGGAGATATTGGTGTTCAGTTCTGATCATCTCTTGTTGCACGACATAATGCATTGATCGGTAAAGTAAATTTTAGAGAAAGCAGTTTAAAGATATGAAAATTGATTTTTCAATTATTTTTTTATTATGCTTTTACTTTATACTCTTATTTATAATATTCATAATGATCTTACACTTCATACGCTTCATATGGTAAAACAACTTCGAATATACAGAGTGTATTATATTTTCTTAAACAGGCACTTTAATAATAAACATTAATTTAGAGAATATGTTAAAGAATAGCATATTTTTGCATTTCCTTACGGAACGTTAAAATATTTGTATAAAGATTTGTATAGATAAAAATTTTCATAAAATATAAAATATCCGTAAATATGTGTCCATGAGTTTGAAACAGTTTAAATTATGGAATTCTTAAAAATAGAACAGTAGGCAAAAGCAGAGTCAAATAACATTAAGAGCGTGTACCAACTGAACAGAAAAGAAATTCGATTTCCGGCACATAATAGCACTTCCTCTGCAACGAAATTGATTTTGCATCAAAGCATTATAGCTTCACTTGTGACATGTAAGGTAGCTTCTATGATGAAGTAAGCTGTAATTAATTTATTTCAAACTTAAGTGTTTACGGTTTGTATCATTCACGGAGCTGAAATCGTCTCGAATCAATTCGTATTTGGTGACGGAAACAGCCATGATGTTCCAGTAATCTCGAGAGTGCAGAATGAGTTATTGTGCGAAGTATCTGATAGGTCATCTCAGATCGTCAATCATTCATATTTCAAAGTCTGTCGAAATTACGGAGAACGGAAGAATTCATTGTATTTGAGTTTATGAAATTGATCGAATGACACGTACAATAGTTTTCATTGCAATCAGCAGTGTTAACATAATTTCGGAGATCCATTAAATTCAAATGCGTATATTCAGGAAAAGGAAAAATAAAACTTCTTTCCTGTAGGGTTTAGTTAATTATTCTATGCATATATATAATCATAATTAAGTTCTATTCTATCGTATATTTCTTACAGATTACTAAACTGCGGATCTTTATGCAAACTAAAAACTTTGTTGAATAATAGTATAAATAGTAATAAATAATTTATAAATCTACCTTTCATTATCAAATTATGTGTTCAGCAGTATACACTTAAATTGAATGAAATGTAACCCAGATAAATATAATTAGAACAATGGTTGTCCACAACTGAAAATAACTACTTTTATGTTACTGGTTGGACACGAAAGAAAAACAATGTCGTTTGCAAAGTCCGTAAAAAATTGTGTAATGATAAATGCTGAAAAGTGAGTAACATAAATGTTAACTTGTGATCTACTATTTGTTGGAGCATCATGACTATGTCAGGAAAAGAAAAAGTTTGAGTCTCGAAGTTCTAAGCGATTCTGCTGTTCGAGTGTACTCGAAATTTCTGAAAGGCGGAAACGCTTGGCCCACCAAATGTTAGAAGATATATTACCAAGCTTTTGGACCTGACATCGCGCTACGCTTCAAGGACTATAGTTTCCAAGGCATACAGGAAAATAGAACAGCATTTATTAATATATTAGGTGGATGGTTTCCTTTTGACGAATGAAGAGGCAGTAAAAGAAAACAATTGTTCGATACTTTTTGTTATAATACTGTTGTTGTTGTCTCATTATTCTGAATAATTTCAATGACTTTAATTAAATATAAAATACTCTGAACGTATTAGAAGATTATAATGCTACTATTGTACTATGTAGAGACATGTTTGCCGCGTGTGTCGACACTCTACATGTAATCTCTCTTGAGAGTGTCAGTTGCATTATTGACGTTAATGACCGATGGATTTCGTCCGAATTAGTCTCTACCCCGAGGACATATTTGTGGTAATTGTCATGCAAATCTTCCATGAGGAATCATTTAAAAGGTGCAGTGATTACTATTGCAGTAATTATTATTATTATTATTTATTATTTATTATTTATTATTTATTATTTATTATTTATTATTTATTATTTATTATTTATTATTTATTATNTCAAACTTAAGTGTTTACGGTTTGTATCATTCACGGAGCTGAAATCGTCTCGAATCAATTCGTATTTGGTGACGGAAACAGCCATGATGTTCCAGTAATCTCGAGAGTGCAGAATGAGTTATTGTGCGAAGTATCTGATAGGTCATCTCAGATCGTCAATCATTCATATTTCAAAGTCTGTCGAAATTACGGAGAACGGAAGAATTCATTGTATTTGAGTTTATGAAATTGATCGAATGACACGTACAATAGTTTTCATTGCAATCAGCAGTGTTAACATAATTTCGGAGATCCATTAAATTCAAATGCGTATATTCAGGAAAAGGAAAAATAAAACTTCTTTCCTGTAGGGTTTAGTTAATTATTCTATGCATATATATAATCATAATTAAGTTCTATTCTATCGTATATTTCTTACAGATTACTAAACTGCGGATCTTTATGCAAACTAAAAACTTTGTTGAATAATAGTATAAATAGTAATAAATAATTTATAAATCTACCTTTCATTATCAAATTATGTGTTCAGCAGTATACACTTAAATTGAATGAAATGTAACCCAGATAAATATAATTAGAACAATGGTTGTCCACAACTGAAAATAACTACTTTTATGTTACTGGTTGGACACGAAAGAAAAACAATGTCGTTTGCAAAGTCCGTAAAAAATTGTGTAATGATAAATGCTGAAAAGTGAGTAACATAAATGTTAACTTGTGATCTACTATTTGTTGGAGCATCATGACTATGTCAGGAAAAGAAAAAGTTTGAGTCTCGAAGTTCTAAGCGATTCTGCTGTTCGAGTGTACTCGAAATTTCTGAAAGGCGGAAACGCTTGGCCCACCAAATGTTAGAAGATATATTACCAAGCTTTTGGACCTGACATCGCGCTACGCTTCAAGGACTATAGTTTCCAAGGCATACAGGAAAATAGAACAGCATTTATTAATATATTAGGTGGATGGTTTCCTTTTGACGAATGAAGAGGCAGTAAAAGAAAACAATTGTTCGATACTTTTTGTTATAATACTGTTGTTGTTGTCTCATTATTCTGAATAATTTCAATGACTTTAATTAAATATAAAATACTCTGAACGTATTAGAAGATTATAATGCTACTATTGTACTATGTAGAGACATGTTTGCCGCGTGTGTCGACACTCTACATGTAATCTCTCTTGAGAGTGTCAGTTGCATTATTGACGTTAATGACCGATGGATTTCGTCCGAATTAGTCTCTACCCCGAGGACATATTTGTGGTAATTGTCATGCAAATCTTCCATGAGGAATCATTTAAAAGGTGCAGTGATTACTATTGCAGTAATTATTATTATTATTATTTATTATTTATTATTTATTATTTATTATTTATTATTTATTATTTATTATTTATTATTTATTATTTATTATTTANATCTATCATGCATCGTACCATTTCGCATAATCACTCCAATTCGTTTTATCTGTGGAATTACTGCTTCTGAAAGACACCAAATAATGCACTACCGCGCATGAATTCCATTTATTTGCTCAATTATTTCGATATTTACCTAAATTTTTGAGTTCACCTTGACCAAATATTGCTTAAACTTGGAACTACCCCCTTCTATTTTTCGGCATAAGTAACATTGTGGGGTTGCACAAGATTTAAAGTAAGCTCTTAATGATTAAAATATTATTAAATATTTAAAAAAGAATAAAAACTCGATACAAATTTGCAAAAAGATTTTTGTTTTGTTCTTTCATAAAGTACGGCATAAATTAGGAGAGTAATAAGCTCTAGCTCACCCTCTATGCTTTTAGTATTTATTTACACGTTTGCAGACAAATTAAAAATTTTTTGGGATCACTGGCAACCGCAATGGGTCATTCTACGGTTAAAGATCGGCAAATATAAACAATTTTGTAAAACCATTTCTAAGAAAAGTATTACTCTCGTAATAAACAAAATCAGAGTGTTCATAGGCAGAGATCTGTTGTAACGAAAACAAGAAAAAATTGAAGTATAATTATTAAATTTTGTTTAAAACGATTTTGGTTACCAATAATAGTTATAAATGACGGAAAAAGGTTTTGGTTATCAATAACCATTATGAATGACGGAAATAGTTTTTGATTACGAATAACCATTATCGACGATCGGAATTTTATTTAATATCAGTTTTCTATCGATGATCTGTTCCTATCAATTTTTTGACATTACTGTTATTTTTAGTCCCTGTTCAAAGGGTTACATAAAAAACAAAAGAATAACGAAACCAATAGATGGGATTACCACGATTAAACGAAATCAGACATTTCATGATACGCCAAGCTCGCAAGTCGAATTCGCAAGTGTAATAAAAATTCCTTAATAGGGTCGTAAGGGGAAGAGAAGAAAATAAATAGCCGCTCCATGGCAGGGGCTGAAACAAGCTGAAACAGTGTTCCAGTACTTGGGGGAATAGAATGCGTTATTAAGTCGAGTGGTCATCGAGCCGTGCTGGACCGTGTGGCAGGCCACTGATCGATCTACACCGCTATCTCGAAATCGATTACGCGATTAGCGCCTCGTTAAGAGCAATACTGGCATCGGGAATCGTAATCAACTCTACATCTTCGATTAACGAGACCGAACGAGCTGAATTTATTCGTTGATCCTGCGGATCGGATCGCGCGCGGCTACCTTCGTAATCACGTAACGGTTAATTCTTTCATTTTTAATTACCATGGCCGATTGCCGCACCGATCTGCCGATTCGAATCGAAACGAACCGTGTGACGGTATCGAAAATCAATACGTGGATAAGAATGATGTCCATAGAATTAATCCGTTCGCATGCGTGTATTGCTTTTCCACAATCCGGCGCCAGCAGTAATTAACTGAAAAAATTTTGACTTGTTTAAAATCTCCGAGGATGGTAGTCGTTTGGTGATTAACGCTGGAATTACGGAATTTTATTGATTTTTTGCGGGCATGTATAGTAATTATTGATCTGCGGATTTTATGCATTTATGATAAAAATTACTAGGTGAAATACCAAGTGATGTAAAAACATTAGACAAATTAAAAAATGCTCTTACATTCTCCTCAATTTATTGGAACTATTAGAAGAAGAAATGCATTTTCATTTAGGTTTTATACCCTACAATTGATTTAGAAATTTTTTATTTTGCATGAAGATCCGCTGTCAAGTGATTATTGCTCATAACTTGAATAAATACATTCATTGTTACATCTTGACAAAGTAATGTAATGCAGTCATTCTGTAGATCTCGTGTTAATTAATTCTAGCAATCTCCTGGAAAGATTGAATATTTTATACATTCTTTAAATTCACTTTAGCAAAGAGTAATTGTAATTGTAATTAGAGTAAGAGTAATTGTAATTTCTCGTGATCAATTCCTTAAATACTAAATAGTTTGCAGTGTCATCTCGAAGTAACTGATTTAACACGTTGATATAAAGAAAAGATAATATTTGACCAGATTTAGAAATGAATTTTCGTACTAATATATCCAGTGTGTCAAAGGTTGGGATCTACAAAATGCAATTATTTCAATAAATCAAATATTTGAGATCGCTAGGTTCACAGTGAACGTATCTTTCTGCTTTGGACATTCTATACGTTCTATATTCATTAATTATTCAATTAAATCTTTAATCGCGTCTTTATTGAAATTAGTAAAATAAGAAAGATTTAGTTTCTTATTTTTGAGGTTTCGTTTCCTTGTACTCCAAGATTTTAGTTCGTGTATTATCCTAATCAACATCGCCCGTTTTTTCTTTTCTTCCACGCTTCCTGTATGTCCCATCTATACTGGCAATATCTTCCTCGTTTTCTCCCAGGCTTTTTCTTCTACCCATGTTTCCACTAGTCCAATAATGTCTCATTCCTCAACCTATTGCTTGAAGCTTTTTTCCTTGTTCATCAGTTCTGCTACATTCCGCAACAGCAGTCTTAGTTTCTGCATTTTTTCCTGCCTCTTGCTTCCCCTATTTGTAGTTCTCTTCATCCAATCGTTACTTTTTCTGCTACTAGACTTTCCTCTTTGCATTTTTTAATATCTTTCCATCCCCAATCTATTCGCACCATTTCTTTTTCATCCGTAAGCTTTCATGCGTTGACATTAACTGCCTTTCTTCCTTCACGGCTATTCTTTCCAATTTGAAATACAATCTTTTTCGCTTCAACGCTTTGTTACTTTGCATTCTTTTTTATCCTTCTTGTAGCTTGCTGACATATCCTAAAGTATTTAGCTTGTTCTTATCTTAATGCCAGAACTGGAAACAGTAATTTAAATAATTTCATTAAAATAAGATATTTCTTTGATATTCATTTTGCTTTTCTGTATTATTTCTACATACAAGAATATTTTAATGAACTATGAAATAGTATTTATTGTAGGATATTCTTGTAAAATCAGTTACACATTTCAGATAATGTCTTCACTAATACGAATGTAAATAATTGTTTCGAATAAATGAATGTAACGCCAATGTTACATAAAAGGTAATGATTAATGTACATAGAAATGACAAGATAATTAGCTCCATTTAGAGATCATCTGTTTTAAAATTATTTGTTCGAATTTCATACATAATAAAGTTACTTTGCCTACAATATTTCTAAACTAAATGAATGATTCATTGTATTCCAAATATTTTTACTTTGATATTGAATCTTGTTTACGCTAGTTCTTGTTATGCAAATTAAACATTTTTTACATCAATTGCAAGAAATAAAAAGTAAATAAAAGTTCATTCTTTTTTACATAATTTTATTAGATTGAAAATAATACAATGACATTTTTAAATTCTTTAAATCTCTCTATTATTTTCTATTAAAACTATTCATTTTTGCCATAAATGCATAAATTTCCTCGATGTAATGATTATTATTTATAATGCGAGATACGTCTTACGACATACGCCATGAATTCAATTTCGAGGATACGACGCGGAGGTCTGCATACAGGGTGGTTGTCGTGGGTTTCCCGATAATAACTGCTATAGCTAGAACTATTATAAACTTTCTATCGTAAATTCGCAAACTTTCTGTGTCCGTGAAAATGTCCCATCGGATACCGAAGTTTGCCAGCATTTTCAAATAACAACCTGAATTTCGGGATTAAATGGAAAAAATGAGTCGAGCAAGATCGTCTCCACGTCTTCTAACAACTTCTTTGACTTCCTTTAGTTCTATTTTTAGATACTAGCATATCTTTCGTTATGTCTTGCTGCTATAATTTTCTCCTGTCACTGTCGTTGGATTGCTTTGTTTATTTTTAATCTTCTATTCCCCTCATCGCCTCTCTACCTTTATTTTTTCCTCATTTGTCTCCATTCATTTTTCTTCATACTTCTTTTTCTACCTCCTTCGTTTTTTATTGGAATTAATTTTTTTCTCTTTTATTATTCTGTTCATCTTTTCTTCGGTGTTTAATTTGCTTGTCTTTATCTTTTACCACTTTCCTTTACAACCTTCTCACTTGCTACTTTTTTTAAAAATAAAAGTTGCGAATTTTATTAGAACAGGTATTTTATGTTATCAACTAAGTTTTAACACATTATTTAAACGATGTTTAAGTAAACGTGCACACAAATCCTTTGCATTCAATCAATTTTTTTATGAATAACATTTTGATGAAAATATAATACAAACTAGATTAAAGTTTGCAGTTTTATTATAATTATCGTCCGGTGTGCCGTTGACAAAGGATCGTTACGGCTGAATAAACAGGATGCTATGATCAAATAGCTGTTGTAAAATGTGATGATATATTAGTGAAATTTCATGCACAGAAATTTCATCGATCAATGTATTTTCGTTTCCAGAGTTCATGAAGCATGCACCGTGCATGCACAAGGTTCAACCGCTCTACGAACTGTGTATGAAAAAGTATCAAGCGATCACTCAAGAAATGGAAAGGAGCAACAGTACGAGTCCAGGCGGATCTATGAAAAACCTGTGTTGGTGAGTGACAATCAACATAAGCTGAAGAAAATCATTCTTATTTGTTAACTGACAATCTTAAGCTAAAATTTCAACAAATCGTGAACTTCTTTCAATGAAGTAGGATTTTATCGTATGTATAAACATTTATATTCCACAGAACTGATATTTTCAAATAAAATTTTGCTACACCCTGAATATTAAGCAATAAATAAAAGATATAATACAAAAATTACCCCTTTACAGTTTAATGCAACTTTGAAGTCACATATTAATTTATCGATGGTCATTAATGTTATTTAATCATCTTATTCTGTACTTCTCCCTTCGAAATCGAGAAGGTTATGCATCGCAATTTTCAAATTTTATTTTAAACATTAGAGTAAATTCACCTTTTTAAAAGATTCTAAATTTGTGATTAAATTGGTAATTTCTACTCAGAACTTAATATTCATTCGTTTCAAGTTACATAAATTATACATAAATTATATTATACATTAATTTATTATACATATAAATTATACACACCGTTCATTGTTCAGTTACACAGTCATCGATAGACCGCAAAAACCGTAAAACATATTTAAAGCATTTGAAAATACTATTGCATTATTTTCAACTCATTAAATTGATTAAGAAACGTAATAAATAGGCTGCAGACATTTATGCAAAATAATAAAATGAATATTATAATAAAATAAAAATTATTTGCAAGAAATAAACAAGAAATCTTTCTTCCAGTAACAATTTTAATGGATTCACAGTAATATATTGGCATCCCTAAATTGTTTAATCTCTATTGTTCTAAATTTCAGTAGCTCAATTTTTCAATAAATGCATAAAATTTACAGTCTGGTAATAAATATTTATGTGGCTCCTATAACATAAATCTAATTAGTGCAGACAATTTTTATTTCGCATAAGAATCCACAGTGTAGTGATCAATATACAGAGACCGAAGATTCTAATTACAGAAAGATGCAATAAAATCTTCAAAATGAAAAGTGTGAATCAACGCTTCTGTCGTGTACTGAAGTCTTTTGGAATGATAAAAAATCGTGGCTGTAATTTGAAAGCCTCATGGAATTTCGGATGGAAACATGGTTCTCTCTAAAACACGATCAAAGACCACTGAAATGGAGAAGGATTCAATAGCGTTTCCTCCATCGGCCGATTCCTTTAAGGAATTACGACCGGAATTATAGCTAGAAGAGGCTGCCGTAGTACAACTGGTTATGCATTTCAGTTTCAATTTTGATCGCAACCCATTAATGCACAAAAGCGGAGACTTTACAAGGAAATCAATCTGCGTACACTTGTATACTGCTTGTGAGTGGTTCTCCAATTTATGAATCCGTGTTCCCTAACTTGATGCATCTGTGATTCTCTAAATCTGTCATACAGTCACAACGTCAATGTTATTTGATGTTTTCGTTTCATTCACAAAGCCAATCCGATTAGTACAAGAGGCTCTCTTGTATTCTTTAAAATACAGAAATCGAAATCAATCGTTTCAATCATTATTATCCGTTACTATCATTAGACAGCGGATTTTTATGCAAAATAAAAATCGTTCGTAAAATTTTTGCACAATTGCATCTTTCCAATCCCAATATGTTATACCCCAGTAAGTTATACAATTTTTGTAATTTGTGCAAATTATTTATTACTGAAAAATTTGCTATAAATTCTTCAAACGAGATTTTCCAGAAACAATTGTCCAATTTATTTTACTTTGGTATTTAAGATGACACCATTCATTGGTTGTCTTCAGATTTCTATCTTACGGTTTACTGCATTGCATTATTTGTTCCACTAAACAATTTAACAGTTATAAAAATGTTCATATAATAAAGGATATGTTTATTCGGAACGAATACGTTTACATATTTGCTTGATAAAATTATTATTTATTAATATATAACTTATTCCTTAAAAATGAGAATTTTTAAAACGTTTTACATCACATTTTGAGTTTCCATTTTCTCTGAAACTTTACAATAATATTAATTTGCGCCTTAGCATCTTACATATATCTCTATTATCTGGCCATTTCTTGGCAAACATGTTATACATCGTTCGCACGGTATTCATAAGATGTGCTGTTTACGAAACGAGTCATCGTACGTCTATCTGCTGTTGTAATAATAAACTTCTCGTGTAACTACTTAATGTTACCTCGTTACAAGCCCGCTGAATACCATCTGATTTATCTGCAAAATTATAAATGGTATTGTTGCGAATTACTGCACTTCTCTCGCGTCGCGGCATTTTATTTACAATAGAGTACATAAAAACTATAATACAACTAAATTCAATTATGTTAGAGATCTTTGAATTAGATGGTGTTGATCGCTCGACGGTCCGATCCCGACTCTTCGGTTGTCTGTTGATAACACACCTCCGTGGCAACCCCTCTCTTCTATTTTTCTTTAAGGAGTTGCTCACAACAGGGCAGTTTCACATTACAGCGACTTGATTTGGACAAGTCGCCGTAACAGTATTATTAACTGTCTTTTTGCGCGTATTACTAATTTCCATGCTTCATCTAGGTCACTGCAAGATACAAACATTTTTTACACCTCGCTTCACAGATCAGTTTTCAATCTCTCCGATTCTACTTGCGTAATTGCTATCTTTTATTGTTTTTCTTCTGTACCACTGTAACCGTTTCAAAGTCAATCGCTGCCGCATGTATACATNAAAAAATCGTGGCTGTAATTTGAAAGCCTCATGGAATTTCGGATGGAAACATGGTTCTCTCTAAAACACGATCAAAGACCACTGAAATGGAGAAGGATTCAATAGCGTTTCCTCCATCGGCCGATTCCTTTAAGGAATTACGACCGGAATTATAGCTAGAAGAGGCTGCCGTAGTACAACTGGTTATGCATTTCAGTTTCAATTTTGATCGCAACCCATTAATGCACAAAAGCGGAGACTTTACAAGGAAATCAATCTGCGTACACTTGTATACTGCTTGTGAGTGGTTCTCCAATTTATGAATCCGTGTTCCCTAACTTGATGCATCTGTGATTCTCTAAATCTGTCATACAGTCACAACGTCAATGTTATTTGATGTTTTCGTTTCATTCACAAAGCCAATCCGATTAGTACAAGAGGCTCTCTTGTATTCTTTAAAATACAGAAATCGAAATCAATCGTTTCAATCATTATTATCCGTTACTATCATTAGACAGCGGATTTTTATGCAAAATAAAAATCGTTCGTAAAATTTTTGCACAATTGCATCTTTCCAATCCCAATATGTTATACCCCAGTAAGTTATACAATTTTTGTAATTTGTGCAAATTATTTATTACTGAAAAATTTGCTATAAATTCTTCAAACGAGATTTTCCAGAAACAATTGTCCAATTTATTTTACTTTGGTATTTAAGATGACACCATTCATTGGTTGTCTTCAGATTTCTATCTTACGGTTTACTGCATTGCATTATTTGTTCCACTAAACAATTTAACAGTTATAAAAATGTTCATATAATAAAGGATATGTTTATTCGGAACGAATACGTTTACATATTTGCTTGATAAAATTATTATTTATTAATATATAACTTATTCCTTAAAAATGAGAATTTTTAAAACGTTTTACATCACATTTTGAGTTTCCATTTTCTCTGAAACTTTACAATAATATTAATTTGCGCCTTAGCATCTTACATATATCTCTATTATCTGGCCATTTCTTGGCAAACATGTTATACATCGTTCGCACGGTATTCATAAGATGTGCTGTTTACGAAACGAGTCATCGTACGTCTATCTGCTGTTGTAATAATAAACTTCTCGTGTAACTACTTAATGTTACCTCGTTACAAGCCCGCTGAATACCATCTGATTTATCTGCAAAATTATAAATGGTATTGTTGCGAATTACTGCACTTCTCTCGCGTCGCGGCATTTTATTTACAATAGAGTACATAAAAACTATAATACAACTAAATTCAATTATGTTAGAGATCTTTGAATTAGATGGTGTTGATCGCTCGACGGTCCGATCCCGACTCTTCGGTTGTCTGTTGATAACACACCTCCGTGGCAACCCCTCTCTTCTATTTTTCTTTAAGGAGTTGCTCACAACAGGGCAGTTTCACATTACAGCGACTTGATTTGGACAAGTCGCCGTAACAGTATTATTAACTGTCTTTTTGCGCGTATTACTAATTTCCATGCTTCATCTAGGTCACTGCAAGATACAAACATTTTTTACACCTCGCTTCACAGATCAGTTTTCAATCTCTCCGATTCTACTTGCGTAATTGCTATCTTTTATTGTTTTTCTTCTGTACCACTGTAACCGTTTCAAAGTCAATCGCTGCCGCATGTATACATTCTGTAACATCAGCGACGTTTACTAATTTGTAACTTTGTTCGCAGGTAATTCATTGGCTTAATTAATGTAATTAAAGACGCGTACAAATAACCTGTTTCATAAAAAAGTTTCAGTCGTTAATTGAGGATATATCCTCGAAAACCGATACTTTTAATCATCGTTCGAACTCTTTGAGGCTACTCCCCTTTGTATACTAGTACACAGGCATTTTTTTTCAGACCACAATGTACGGACGTCTTTTTGCGTCGCAGCTTTGAAAGTTTCTGTTGCGTCTCCTCCGTTTCTGTAGCGTTCGATAAGAATGGTTGATAATTACTTGCTCTTGGTTAAGCCGATTAAAAGCTTTGCCAGGTCAAACGTCGGGTTCGAGCGAAGCCATTTAACGGAGACCAAACCCAAGCCAGAAGCGTTCATTCTATATTTTCGTGTATTTCGATCGATTACTATTTATTCGTATAGTAGGTCTTTTGTTTCTGTACTTGTATGATTTATTTGAATTAATTCCTGTAGACTTATCTCTATAAAGGCAATGTATTAATAACAATAACAATGTTTTCGTTCCTACGCACTTGTTGTACCACATGTATCATTATTAACCATTTACAATAATTCAGTATACAATTTTTACCAAATATAAAGCAATGCGCTGTCGGTCGTTGTGTGAAAACGTTTGATCGGGTTCAAGCACATTCTGGTACTTGTTTCGACGCGAGCGGTTTTCAGTTCAAGCCGCTTGAACTCACCGTCGAATTCGAACCTCAAATGCTCTAAAATATCTAAAAGACTATACCGATAAAAGTTTAAAACGCGACATCAATGCCTCAATGTATCATCTTTGTCAAATGAGATTTCATAAAACAAGTCAAGCATTTTCAAAAATTGCTTCGTCAACGATAAAGAAGAATTCGGTGATAAAATATACAGAACGTGTGTGTTAAAAAGTTCAACACCAGTAAAGAAAATATTACGAGATAAACGAATATATTTTTTTGTAACTTGTAGAATATCAGAAAGATGGAAACTAATTTATAAGGAAAAGTTTAATCGTTTTCGAGTATTCAAACAATTTTTCGGCAATGAATATTCTCGTATACGTTGTTCGAAATGTTATAAATTGTTCTAATACTTTATGAATTTACATTTTGCATAAAGGTAGATTCGATGTAAAGACAAAAGTATTTACTACTTTACTCATATTTTCTAAAATATCGTTCACTTTTGTACCATATTTTACAAATAAATCAGTCGTTCGCATTAGTTTCAGTCATTTTTTAATTATTCATCTGAAATGACTTTTAACGATTATAATTTGCCGCATCCTTGTGCAGTGGTAAAACGAATTTTATTCCGAACAACATGTCGGCCTTTTGAAAACTGTCAGAATGCGTTTGAGAACCCAATGCCTGTAATATACCGTACAAGGCGAATTCGATTAATGAAATTTTTAACAGCGAACAAAGAAAGCGTGAAAAATGTGGTGGTAGCAGGTTGAAAGTATTTTCTTCGATCGAGTTATTCCATTAGGCACAGTAAACGCCATAGAACGCGCTGCAGAAAGATTTAATGCAAAAGGAGCAGGCACAATGGCGAGAGTGCAATTGAATTTACGCGATAGCTGTGTCGAGGGAGAGCGTCGACGTGTTCATATGCGATGGATGTTTTTGAGACTTTTTTTCGCCTCCCTTGTGCGCCGCCATTGGCCACTCGCTCACTTTCTCCCTTTTCCACGGCTCTTCTTCTTATCCTTTTGAATTTACCTCTTTCCTTTTACTGGCGTTTTCCTCTGCTCGTATTTCGATTTAACTAGCTTGGCACGTCATATCATTTCTGCCCACATCAGCATCTCTTTTCTTCTTTCGATTCCTCCATCCCCTAATCTTTTCGTCACTTTTACTGTGTCGCTCTTCTTTATTCACAATCTCCACCTCCTTTTCCCATCGGGGATTATCTTCTGTAGGATTTTCTTGATCCAACAAATCTCCTTCTGTTTCTTCGACGCTACTCATTTTCTCTATTTTAACGCGCGCTTCATTCTCCCCAGCGATTGTTCTTTCATTCCGTTTGTACTCCACTTTTGTCGCCTCTCTCATGGACCCTTCTCCGTCCCTTCGGCTCGCAGTTCTTTCCCTACCGGGTGATGCGCAATTTCAAAAGCTGCAACAGACCGTGGTACAGATAAGCTAATGTCATTCCATCCTCTGTGCGACCATCAGTGTGAAAAGCCTTCTCTCCTGTTTCGTGTTTATACGAGTCTGTAAAAAAAAAAGAGAAAACGGGGAGGGAAAAAGAAAGGAAGGAAAACGCTGCCTCGCTAAAGACAGCCGCGCATGGCTCCCTGCAACGCGGTCATAACGCACATCGAATATTATTCTTCCATTCTTTATCGTGTTTTTTTCCCTCCTGGCGGTATAGCGATCTTTGATATCATTGTTTACGATCGGTTGTTTTCCCCGCTTGAATTTCGGACACACGGACTATAAACCTTTTTGCTACCGTGTTGCTTTTATTCCGCTTCGAGTTTCTCTTGTCATTACCCAGCCGGAAACTGGAGTCGGCCAGGCCGGCGCGGCGTATAGATTCGACGTCAGGATAAAATTTTATTGTAGTATCCTTCAAAAACAACCGACTTCAACATTTTTTTACGAGCTCGTTCGGATGACCCTTAAATTCCTCGCCATTCGCGAGGGATCCGTTTAGCCGCGCACATTGCAGCACGAAACCTTGCCGTTTCCTCCAATATCTGCCGTTTATGAGGGAAGAAAAAAATAAAAGATAGTGTATATCGTGTTTTGCTTCTGTAACCGCGGATCGAGTAAAGGTTTTTCGATTTCATTGTTGTTTTGTCCGTAGTTTTTTATTTCTGCAAACTGTTATAGTGTTCTTTTTTCACGCAGCTTTGCTTTACGGAATTTTCCAAACACGTAAACGTCCGGTCAATAGAAAGATATGTTTAAATACAATGCTAAATTATATGCTTACAGATTTGTTTACAGTACAATAGTATGTACTGTACTAAATAACGTTTTTTACACCTTAGGTGAATCTATTCACATTAGTTACAGGTGTTCCGAACAAAAACTGTATGCTATCGAAAGAAGCATAAGCGTGATCTTCTTGCTATTTTGCTTTTCTTTTTAATCAAGGTACGAATTTTAATCCTATGGTTGAAAGAGTGTCATATGAATAACAATTTATTAGGTTTAAAAACTAAGAATTTCCGAGATAATATTTAAATGATTTTTGATGTAGGCAATGCTCAAAGTGTTGCACATTCACTGAAGAACATCTTTTATCGTTAGCTCTTGGACATATAGATATGTTAATTTATACTTTTAAAAAACTGCAGGGGACTTCTATATGTATTTCGATCAAAAAATCCAATATCGCGAAAGATCGATCAATACAATGCTCACTCTTCTCTTGATACCAGTTTTTCGATGTAACAAATAGTTTATACACAACTCAGATGACAGACTCAGATGAATCAGCCTGTGCATGTATAGGAAAGCTTCTCGATAATCGAACGTAATGAAGAGAGTTGTTGCGTTTGTTTGTTTCAGTGGCTTCAGGGAGTATTTGGATTGCTCGCACCACTCCGTTCGTCGACAGTGTGGCGATGACACAGCTCGATTTACAAAGGAGTTCCTTGACAGAATGTCAGGTTCATTGTTAAGGGTAAATATTTGCTAGCCTTTGTTGAGAAGAGGCCGTTGTTACCATTATGCGATGCAGTCCAGTCATATAACGCTAGAAGTTCGTCGTTTTAGAACATGTGTCGCGTCTTGTCACGTGTTCTTTGGTCGGGATTTTCAACCTTTTTAAAAATGAAATAATTAGCTGTACAAGTGACTCGGAAGGACAATGGTAAAAGTAAATCGATTTTAGACCTTATTTCCAGAAACTTTGAACAGTGTTTTATACATTTTAAAATGTACCCAATGTACAATTATCTATCTAATGATCCAGAAGTTATAAAAAGTACGCATAGATTTTGAAATATTATCGTCCATAATATTTAAGTTAATAATAAGTTAAACTAATTTTGACGTTTCCCCTGCTTCGGCTAGCGATTTGTCACTGACATAATCATTTCAAGCAGTAAAAAGTAAAGTTTTCATATGTAGAATACTGTCAATTCTATTTGAACAGTTACAAGTTTAATTCCTGTTTTTCTATAATTAGTAAAAATACGGAGTATAGTAATCATTTACGCATGGGAACTTAAATCTGTGACGGTCACAGTGTCGCTGTATTATCGACCTAGAGAACCTATTAGTGGTTTTGATATTCAAGTGGCATCAACATTTTGGTCCATTAATTACTGGAACTGGTAAATAGATATCGCTCTCTAAATGCCATATCAATGAAAGCCAAAACACGTCGCGTCATGCAAACCCTGTTAACTATTTCGTCTAATACACTATTAGAGAAAAGCAATTTATAGGTCGTCGTTTTCGCATAGCAGTAACACTTTTAAGCTACATTAATGTTGCTTACTTAATTGTTCAACACCAAATCTTTCGTGCCGCTCAAAATGACTGGTTTCACATTTATTATTTCTCAATTGTTGAAATTGTAAGGACTCTTTCTTAAGAAACGACTGAATATGCTCCTTCATTCAAACTAATAAAAATGGCGGGAAGTCTAAATTTTTTAAAGTTTCGTGTTAATTACTATATATTATTGGCGCATCATCATATAAGGAAGAAAATGTCGAAATACTTTAACATTGCCATTTTTTCACTAGCAACACAAGGTCTAAAATCGGTCAATTTCTATTACCTTCATTTTACTTTGAACTCCGTGCACTGCTCGACCCAACAGTAGATATTCGCTTTTAATTATAGTTTTTCTGGCAGAGGTATACATGTACATTAATTTAATATCGAAAGCTCATGTATTAGATTGGCCAGAAAGTTCGTGCGATTTTTAACAAATAAATACAGAGCTTCTCTTTTTATCTCGTATACCACTTTTGGCACACGCACATTCTTCGATTACATTCTCTCCATACACCTTACAGTTTTCTTACATATTTCAGTCGCGTTTTTACCTTTTTTCCTTTAAATAAAATACCATAACTTTTCAATTTCCGCAAAATTTGTCGACTGAACTAGATTGCCAAAATCTTTAGGTTTTGGTAAAAGTTGACTGTCGAACTTACTATCTGCTGTCTTCAAGTATCACCGAAAACCGCACGAACTTTCTAAACAACCTAGTACGTATAAATCACGCGAGTTAAAAATCGCAAAAGATCGATACAAAACAGATCTTTGATGCGTCTAAATAAAAATTCACGCAGAAGGTTTAGAAAGCGACAACGTAGGCCGAAATACCCCCTTAATTACTCGATTCAGGACATCGGTTAACGAAGCGATGGCGCGATCTGGTTTCAGGAACACTGCAAACCGTATACAGAGATGTGCGCGATTGACAGCGGCGCCAGCATCTCTAGGATATTGACAGCGGTACCTGTGGCGTTGATTCTGTTCGCAAGGTACTTCACGTAAGTGGTTAAGCACCACTCGTAGCCGGAAAAAGGGAACGATTTCCGTACACCACGAGCGCCGTGCTGAAACCAGGGGCCCTCCGTTCGTTCTCTACTTCAGATTCGCCAGCGTATTTCTTTTTTTTTTCGAAGAGGAACCAGAGAGAGAAAAAAAGAGCTTGCTCGCATACATACATACATACACGGGTGCCAAGCGCATCGAGTATCGAGAGGAACGGAGGAGGAAAGGGAGTATATAGGGAGGAAAGGAGACGAAGAAAAGTCGAGGGAACAAGGTATAGACCGAGCAGGGACGATCAAAGCAACGACACTGCGAGGAAAGACGAAAGTTTGCAACTTCTACTCTCTGCACTCGTGCGGCAAGTGTTTCTCTTTGACGTGAGGCTCGAGCCTCGTGGAAAACAAAGAGGAGAACGTGCTTTCAGACATCGTGGCGAGTTTAATCGGCCAATTGAAAGACACGTGTCCGCTGAACTGTTCGCCTACCAATTCCTGGATATTTGAATATCAGGTCCGGAAAAACAATTCTCCGTCGAAGCAGGGTCAACATCGGGAACACGAAATTGCAAACTATTGCGCTCAACGTGTGCTCTGTCTTGGTTATAAGAGTTTCTAATGGCTTCGAACAACACCGAAGAATATCGGGCTACTAATGTCTTGAGAACGCACGACTAAAACGGCCGAGACCGTGTCAACAATATGTGCTCTACTCTCAGGCAAATTTCGATGTTTGAAAGGGTTCGCGAGGGGAATACCTGTACACTGTCGATTATTTTCCCGCTTGAACGATCGAGGTTCGAGGCGAGATATTTTTCTCCTCGTGGCCGAGGGAGGTGGGAACGATTACTTCATGTGTGCGATACAGCAAAAGCAAGAGACGACCTATGAATACTGAAAGCGATCGTGGCCCGAAAAAAAAAGAAACAGCTAAAGGAAGTCGACGACCATTCTACGTTTTCCGTTTCCACGTTCCTGCTGATCGCTGAGTCTTCTGTTTTTTCTTTTTTCTTTTTTTTGGATAACGCAGAGCCACGCAAGACCTGAATATTTCAAGGACGGGTGAGATTCGAATAACCTAGCTTCTACTTTTCCGGAGCTGTTCGATCGAGCAGCGATGTCGTTTTCCAGCACCTTCGAATCTAGCCTCAGTTCTTGACTATGCCGACTTTCTATTATTCGAGGAGCTTCTGGTAAACGACAAAAGGAAGGAAAAAATGGAACGATGTTTGGTAAGATGGAATCGTTATCTTATCAGCCAACGACCGCGCGATTCCGCCGGTCTACAAACGAAGTGTCCCCCGCGATGAGCACTCCGTCTCGTCTGTCGATAATAGCGGCGATCCTTTTGTAACGAACACTCCATCGGGGAACGCAGCGAAGTGTCTAGTATTGAAAACGGTGTCAACGGATGGAGGAAAGCTCGTTCCTTCGAATTCTACGGAGAAGCCGGGACGACGGCTTAGCAGGTCCGAAAGAGATTCTCAAAAGGAAGAATGAAAGAAAGCAGCGGAGCTGATGGAAACGCGGCGAGAATTCATTCTGGCGCCCTTGTCGACAGACCCTTCGACCGGTTTAAGGCACCGGAATTGAGACCGGCCGGATATGATAAAAATGAATCTTCCCTCTTACTTAATTCGCATTCGAGTAGCGTTTTCGAGCGTTTCCGTATAGAACCCAAACTACGCAGACTCGAAAGTGGAAAGTTGTTGGCGATGAGGAACACAACTCGAGACTTTTGGTTCCTTCATTGCTTATGCAGTCATTGAGCGAGCTGGGAATGAGATATCCGGAAAGTGGTGTTTGACGATGGCAAGGGGGAGATAGACGGCAAGTAGGGACTGTTTTCACGAAAACAACGTCGAGGTCGATCATGTCAGCGGATTATGCTGGGTAACACTTTATTCTAAACCTGGCCTTTCGAATAACAACATAATTGTTGATTTCTTTCTTCGACGTTAATTTGATAGTCATTTCGATTTTTTGACATTTTACTACCTTGATGCATGAAACTGTCTCGTACATAATCGGCTGACGACACTTTATTTACTAGGAAGTAAATTGGATTTCTATTCATAAGTAGTATTTAATGAAGTGGTGGTCTCTCGGTGGTAAGACGTTGGAAAACTCTTCGTGATGAGGAGCTAAAGAAATGAAATGAAAATTCATAGTACAGTGAAAACTCGGTTATCCGAACTAATGAGGAGAATATCAGAGATTGGATAACAAAACAGTTACTTGGTTACAGTGTTAGATTAAATCTTTGAATGTACAATAAATAATATTGTACATGAACCGGTTAGATCGAACTATTTACACGCGAGACGTATTTACATTTTAAAGAATTCAGAGGTACGGATAATCGAGGTTCGACCATATATTAAATGATTGGAACGACTTTCCAAAATCGTGTTAGTCAAGTTGCCGAAAATGGTCTTTGTGCAATGCGTAAGCAGGTATATTAACCCTTTACGGACTAAAAACTTCAATAATGTGAAAAATTAAAAACATATTCTGATCTTTCATCAGACACGTCATCTTAAAGTAAGATATGCAGTCCTGTCATCACTATATCAATATTCTTCCTCAAAGGGTTAACCCAAATAGTTTATCAGATCATGGATGATATTGTCGTGGCTTTTGATCGATCTTCCAAGAAATCCTCAACCATTGATGTTCAACTAGAGAAACCTTTGGAACACTGTAGATAGTGTGTCGATGTAACCTATTTGGAAACATTCGCCAGAGTTTGTGCAATCTAAACACATCATGCCTAAATGAATCAGTTCATCCGCTCATATCGAGTTCTCACCGTCTTCTCCAATTTTCCTTTTTCCCGATCTATATTACTGGATCCGTTTAGTCTGGTTTACCTCCGGCGTCATGCGTCAGCATTACGCTCGATAAAGCGCCATGTAACTCAAACCTGTAGCATGAAACGGAACTGAAGTCAACGTCTACGGAGCTACGAAGTGGCAGAGAGTACAATAAAGTGACGACAAACGGCAACTGGAAGTAGAACGCTACAAGTGCCAGTCCGATATGTTATTTTCTTCGGTTTCAAGATGACCGATGGGGACGCAGATAGTCAGATCAATCGTCCGCGTTCTCGGTCCAGAAAATATTGCGAGAAACGTCAGCCCCAACGTCGAGTGGGATGGTCGCCGTTCTCCATGCAGAAGAGTGTATCGTCGCAAGCGAACTGGAAGGAAGCAAAAAAGTAGCGCTGATCCCTACCAGGACAAGAAGGGGACGATGCTCTTCCGGTATGTGCTCCGACACGGCTATCGCGAGCAGATAACGACACCGGCTCCCGGACAGCCGATTCTCTCTTGAAAAGGAATCACTTCCACCGTGCTGACTTGCTGGAAGTTTCATCGAAATTCTGAAACCCAAATGCGATTCGCGAGCTCCCTCGAACTGCTTATCGAAAATGTCTTGTAAGCGTACGTATGCCGAGTTACGGGCTCCACTTGCTCAAACCGTTGCTCTTCCATTACCTGTATCGAAATACGATACTGTCTTCGACGCTGCCGACAACGGCCGTGGCAAAGCGTTTTCTGCGTTGCTGAACATCAACCGTTTACGGTTCTGATGGCTGGATACTTTCGGATTCTTTAATGGTTCACGAGAAGTGGCAAGAGTCGAAAACGGATTGGATACGATCCTTCCGACGACACGGGGAATTGTTTGTCGCATCCTTCCGAGCCACTTCGCAGCGTTCCTCGATGAAGCAATTGATCAAGCAGCTACGGCGAAGCTTGTCCGATCAATTTCTCCGCTAGCATTTCCTGTTGCATTTTGGGATGTTTGTTGAAAAATCATTGAGAAGTCAGGAAACTCGGAAGTAAGTTCCTTGGTAGAAGAACGTCAGTCATGTACTAGCACAGATCTTTTTTTATTGGAAATGTACAAGAGAGAAAGCTGGAATGGTATAGGTATGGAAACGTCATTTTGAGAACAGATTGCAAGCACGTTTATTGTGAAAGATTATCGCTTCCATATCCCTCTTGCTACCTACGGGGCAAAGAACCGGCGAAAGCGTCTCGCTGGAAGAGACGGAAACGGACACCAAAATAGGAAAGCAGGGGAAATGGATCGAGTGTGTGTCAGCTGCTTCGACGGGGGTTTGATTTGCGCGCACGTACCGCCTCTAGTACGGCTCGGAACGCGTTCTAAATAACAAACAGCGAATATCTCAGGGGTGCAGGTAAATCACTTTCGTGGCGCGATCAAGAAGCATACGTTACTCCCGTCGTAAACTCATGGTCCGACGGAGATTTTGAATATTTCGAACGCGTGTCGTTCTCTCGAACCCATATTCTTTCGTAGCGTCATGTTGGAGTTCGGCAGGTTTCATTCTTGAAAGACCATCTATGATTATAGGACTGCCGATCTTGATGAAAAGTTTTGCTATTTCGATAAACATTTCTGTTAAACGAAGGATATCAAATCTGTGTGCAAAATTGTTATGCAGCTGTATTCGCTGTGAAGGTGTACAGATGTGCTGTCTAAAGGTTATTATATAAAAGAGAAACGATTAGAACTGAAAATTTTGTTTAATTTATGAGTTCGAGGGTATGCATCCCTTTTCCGTGGTGTTCTAAGGTTAATTGGAAATCTTGTCGAGTGTCATCGCACTCAATTCTTTGTTTCACCTGTTGCACTTTGATTGAAACAAATTGGTTTCTTCAATTCAGAAATCTTGTCATCTTCAATTCCAAATTGCTGTTATTTCTAGATAATCAATTGATTTGGATTCCACAAGCTACTTCTGTATAATTTAGTAATACAAATATGGTAGTGTCATTCAGTAGTGAAGTTAAATCAACGTTGCAGGTATTACGAAAAAGATAACAATCTATGTGTCGCATAATTGCAGTAGAAAATTGATTGATTTGTCATCCGAATGTTTTATACAAAAAATTGCTTGGTATACTGTTTTTTATGTTTTACATTTTTGAATGTAATTTTCCACGTTTCTAGTAACACTAATGATTAAAAGTTAGTAGATAATTATTTCTCTCAAATATAATTACAGCAAAGAAAGAAGTATGACAGCCGATTTCGCGCATGCAAAATTTTCCAATGACACCAATTACCACGGTGTGGATATTAATCATATAAAACGCAGTAAGTGTCTACATTTCTTTAAATTATTATACTAGAACTGCTAGTCACTTTTAGATTTTTCATCTTCAATTTCATTCATAGCACATTCATTAGCCCGCGAGAAATTTGATTAAACGATAACATGGGATTCTTATCATTGAATTGCGGATCTTTTTGCATTTATGGGATGCGCGGATTAAAATGTATAACTTTAACATAAAATAATAGCATGTTCGCCGTATTTTTGCAACGGGGAATATTTTAATTCACGAAAGAAACTTTTCTTCAATTGTGATTTTTATAAAATAATTTATGAAAACGTGAATCTATATAAAGATCCGTAGTCTGGTTATAACCATTTAAATTGAATTCCGTCATGTTTTCTTTGTTACACACTAACGCAAGATTTGTTCAGGCATCGAAAGAATGCCTGTGTAATCGGAGAATAATTAGAGAATGATGACACTTGTTGTCTCACGTTAACGGTAGAAATTAAGTGGTCAATCATTTCTTGTCGACAAACATCCCACCGAATTTATCTTTCCTTGATTGAAGCGACGTAAAACTCGAATGTGGACAAAGAACTGCATTCGCAGCTGTCATATCACACAGATCATACCGATCAGAAGATTGCTTGTTCAAGTAGCGTTCAATGCGGCGCGGCGAATCGCGTTATTGAACGTTCAATTATAATTCGTACGAATGGTGCTTCATTATGTTTTACTTGTAAATATTTGTCTGCATACCGAGCAAGGATTATAAATCTCTGCGCGTTTATAAGTCAAATTACGTTTGACGAATCCAACGTGCTTGCAGCACAATTCATTTTGATTATGGCGACGAGGACCGCAAGGCCAATTAATCACTTCGGAATAGTCAATATTTTCGAGATTTAACCGTGCCTGGTTTGACCCGCTTATGAATTTGTTGCAAATCGGTGCACAGTTGATCTGATGCTTAGTTTATGAGAAACTGCCAGTGTAGAATAATTGCTGGCACGAAGTCTCCACCCACTGATCGACATTGTATTGATACGGCTAGGGATAAATTAAATGATTACTAGAATTTTGACATTCGCGCGCGCGCGTTCTTTTAGTACGCCACTAAACTGAAAGAACTATTCTAAATAATCGTTTTCTAAAAATGTTACCCGAAGAATTAACCTTTCAGGCACGACGCGCCACTATAGTGGCTTCCGCGGATATCATCTTTTAGAACGACACGCCACTATAGTGGCTTCCGCGGATGTCATCTCTCTGGACGACGCGCCACTATAGTGGTTTGCTCTAATAGCTCACACGCTCGTCGTTTGAACCAAATAATCGTCTTCATATGCATTGTTTCACACTTCTTTTGTCCGGATCCGGAAATGGCGGGTTCCTCGGATCATTTGAAGCAACTTCTTCCTTTACAAAAATTTTCTCCGAGGCACCGTTAACGAGTTATTAACGAAAAACAGTGACTAATAAGAATCGATTACGGCTGACGCGAGGCGGTCCAGCCAACCAGCACGCGAAGCCGCTGGCGCTGTTGACTCGGCCGCCTCGCGCCAGCTGAGCTGGGATTCGACCGCTCGACCGCTGGCGCCGTTGACTCGGCCGCCTCGCGCCAGCTGAGCTGGGATTCGACCGCTCGACCGCTGGCGCCGTTGGCTCGGCCACCTCGCGGCAGCTGATCTCGCCTCTCATTGGTCACTGTTTTTCGTTAATAACTCGTTAACGGTGCCTCGGAGAAAATTTTTGTAAAGGAAAAAGTTGCTTCAAATGGCTTGAGGAACCCGCCACTTTCGGATTGCGAGACATTTTTGGGACACCCTGTATATACAGACAGAATATACAGTATCAGACTCTGTACAGTACACATCAGACTCTGCCGTCCAGAGAAATAGCCTCGCGCAGAATTCAGCCGTACCTAAAAGGTTAAAGAAAAGATTCGATTTTTAGTATGTTGAAGAAATATTGTTAATTGGCTGAAAATTATATGAAAGCATAATAAAAGGCACGAGGATACAAATTGTTTTCGTCATGCAGTTTATTCTGTTTGCGAGTAAAATTGCATCACTGTGTGAATAGTGATCCAGAAATGAGGGAAAAACTCATTTCGGAAAAGACGCTCTATGTTTAACAATGAATCGAGTTGCCGATAACGCATTTGACTTCAGGGACGTGTGTCCGATTGTTTATCATACGGGAAGATCGTCGAACGAACGTTCGTGCGTGCAACGGAATCCAAAGCTTTAATGAAATTAGTTTAGTCAGTGCGATTTCCGGTTATTAGTTGGACAGAGACGTGGAGTTATTTCAAACTACGAATGAACTTTGTATCGGAGTCGAAAACTATTCTGTCGAAACGGGGTCAGCTCGAGTTAACCTTAAGTTATTTATATTCGTATGCCTATTTATTAATAATTTATTATCTCTGTCATCATAGCGAGTCTGGTGTCACGATTCTTTACGATACACGTCGGTTAATCTGAAGTCGAACACTTTCATCTTATTCGTGTGTTGCATCAAATTAAAAATCAGTGGCACGTTAAATGCTCCCTGAAAATTCGATAGAAGCGGTGCCTCATGGAGATCATAATGAACGTTTTAGCTTTACCAAAAAATTACTGCTACGCGATATCTTCATTCTCTTATACGATACTATACTATGTTTCATTACCTGGTTGTTTGCGTATCGCGTGTTTCCATTCTGTTTTTTTTACCTTCCATTCAAAATTTGTTTCAATTATTCTCACAACACCAGGTCAACTTTTGGTCAAGCTTTTCATTCTTCCATTTGATTTATTTTTCTGATTTAAAATATTGTATTCTCAATGTACAGATTTTACAAAATTTTCTTCGGAACAGTTCCAAGCTTTTGTTTATTCGACATTGTTAAAACGGCCGGTGCGTGGCGTATTGCACATTTCCCATCATTCTTGTGGAAAATTTTCGACTTCAGCGTTCTAAAGTGACTTATGGCGAAGCGTTCACGCTCCGTCTTTGAAATTCTTCATACTGAACATGGGAAGGATTGAGAGATTTTATCGTTTTATACCAATTTGCGCGAAAAGAGGCAATGTAGCAGAAATTGAATGAAACGTTTCAAAGGAAGTACGAGAGAAAATTTCACAGAATAACTTTTAAAAGAAGAAGTGTAAAGAAAAGAAAAAGAAGTCAGAGGTAACAATATCGAACACCTACCCATCAAGAGAAATAATCAACATCGCGATCGAGAGAGAGAGAGAGCTATGATTATATTAAAATTTTCTGATCACAATTTAGCAGGACAATAGAGAAGACGCGTTTCGTTCTCAGGATAAGTTACTCGCTCAAGAAAACATTGACATACTGCCAATTGGACTCTATTATTATACAGATTTAGTCGAGGATTATATTAAATGATCGAATGGTTATGGAATAGTATTGGAGGGTATTATCGCATAAATTATCGAGAGAAATTCATTTCAGTGCAATTGCTTGGGATGGTCACTTATTTTCTTCTATAAAGTCAGTAATAATGATTCTCATATCTGTTGTTCTCTCAAAATGCAAACAATTCTTTGCTTCAAACAATTTTCTGTATTTAAAATTTCGAAGGGAATAAATTGGTAAGCGATCCAACATGAATTTTAAAATTGTAAAATTAAAGCCTCTCCTTCATGGTTTGCTCGCAATAACAGAACAGTATCGAGTTGCCTCTTAAACGCGAATATCGAATATTAACCAATTCGGAAGTGCTTCCTTAATTGATACTTGGGAAAAATGAGAAGTTCGTCTTTATTCAGCGACTAGAAGCTCGCAAGTTGAAGTCACGTTCATTCTATCTTACGAATCTACCTTCGTTGCGTAAATCCACATGCTCCTCCGCAGGCGTACCTATAAATTAGATCTTGGCGAAGTTTCCTGCAAGCTACCATTATTATTCCTAAAAGACCCCTCAAGGCTAATCATGACCGTCTTCTCCGGAAGATCACGTTGTTCTATCCCATTATCTTGGTTGACTCCTCGAACTCTAATTCAACATCTTGCTTAGGTGAAATATCTCCTTTCATCGTTCCATGGTCCTGCAGTAAGCAGATTTTGCCGTTTTGAGAAAGGATCGCTCATCGTTCAAGCCTTTCTCTATAGAACACCTCTTGACAATTCATATTTTATGTTAAAACGAATATTTACATACGAAATAAAATTATTGAAGCGGAAGAAAGTTGTACCACATTTTTTAGTTTTCATTTTGGATAAACCCAGTTCACGATGCTATTTTGTAACTGTATCTGTTACTCTTATTAACCATTTTTATTTTGGAAACAATTTTAACTAAGAAAAATCTCTGTACAATCTAGTTTAATCTCCTGTGTTTTATAAAATGGGTTTTTCTTTCTGATAACGCAGATGGACAATGTTGAACAGAAATCTTCTTTAAGCTTCAAAAATTATGTTTCATAAAGTGTTCATATACAAATGCGTATTGCGTAAATGGTTCTGAAATTTAAATATCTCTCACAAACTGAAGCCATGAAATCTCCAATGAAATTTAGTATTATTGTATGATTATTAACGAGATGATTTCTAAAAAGCACGTCAGTATTTATCGAAGCTGTAAGTGCTCGGTTTAAAGACTAAAAAATCGTTATCGTTAAACATCCAAGTGAAAATCCAACACCGTTAAAACAGATATAGCGCGTCTGGAGAAAACGAGTATTCGCGTTCAATGCCCGGGTCATTTAATTCCGAAGAATGCACGTACGCGCCGACACTGTATAATAAAATCGATGTTCGATTGCAGTGGATGCGCGCACGTATTACGAGCTACCGACAGTTCACATTTAAAATTTGCATCTCGCAATCGGATCGATGCCGCTGCATGCACGCCGGTCCGCAAAGACGGTAAAGCTCACTCGACTATAAACAATTTTCTGGTATCGCGTTAGTTTTCTATTTTCTTTTCGTCGCGCGACTCCGATGCCGCTTCTCCGGCGCACCCTCGAATAGGCGAACGTGCGTATAACGGACTTCGCGCAGGGTTAATGCGGGATATATTCGTCGAACGTCTACGTGCCGTCGAAAGTCTGAAATTGTTGAAAAGTTTCGACGATCGGGAGCGTACGTATATTCCAGAAACTTGAATTACAGTCTCGATACCGCGAAGTTGAAAGTGGTTCCACCGAAAAGTTCGCTTGCTAGCTGGTTTACTCGGATCTTGTCACAGACACGTATTTAACCATTCGTAGTCTTGTACATAGTAGTGAGTTAGATAGCACCGAGATGGATCGTTCGAGCGGTCCATTCATGTAACATTATTCAATGTGCATCCTCCGCGGATTTTTGTCGATAATGTAAAGCCTGAGCGCCGGCATCGTATGAGCCAGTTAAAGCCCTAACGCCGGCCTTATTTGCGTGTTTCTGAACAACGACTAGTTAAAGAAAATATTTAAATATTTAGAATATTTCGTATTAAAAATTCGATCAGGACAACTTTTTTGTGTCTGGTATGTCTCCGTTTACTTTCGTTACAGAAGAAGTCTTCTAGACTTTGATAAAGAACGAATCAAAATTTGTTTCGATTCAGAGAAACTGAATAACACTCATATTTAGTGGATTAAACAGTCAGCTGTCTTTGACGAGTGTACTCGTCATAACACAGAATATTGTCATTTCTTGATTAAATTCTTTATTAAGTTACATATTTTATGAAAGTGTTGTATCTGGACAAAACGTGAAGAATTAATTACGGTAACTTGCACACTTCTTAAAAAGATTGCAACAGCTAACTGGTTAATATACACAAAATTCTGTGTAATGTGTTTTACTGCAAATTTATGTACTGTAATCGTTTCGTGTGTTATGGAAACTGGACGGAATAAAGTCGACGTTTGTTGAAAAAGTACACAGAGTTCGATTGCGGATAGTCGGCTTGTGTTCACATTATTAGTGAATATTTTATTTGATTAGTGATTATGCTATTTAAAATTCTCGAGTAGATGGAAGAGGAAGGAGACCGCGCGGCTGTGAAAGTGATAGAATATTATAAAAATGTCAATTGTAGTGGAAAGTAATTCGATGTTCACAAAAAGTATTATTGTTCAGCGTTAAGAGAAACGCCAAGTGAGTATCGCGCAGGAAAGCCGTCGCATATTCAGAACATGAAAACCGTCAATTTAATTTTACATTCGAATTCGATGAAGCGAAAACTTGTCCACTCACGACAGGACACACTCTTGCAGGTGTTTCGAATAGCTTCGGTAGCCCTCGCGTGTTTAATTACGTTCTAACGGAATGTTGTATGCAAATTGTCGGGAGCACGTTGCGCCGTTGTGAATAATTCAAATC